CGTACGACAATCGGAAGCGCCAAAGATCGTGGACAAAAGATGGTGAGCCGTCACAAGCGTTCGCGAAGCCAGGATCGACGCTAAAAAAGGCGATGCTGTGTGTGGGGTGAGACTGGAAGGGAATCGTCCACCATGAGGTACTTCCAGTTGGTCAGACGATTAATTCTCGACTCTACCGTGAACAACTGGAGAGATTGCGCCACGAAATTGAAAAAAACAGCCCGAATTGCATAATAGGAAAGGTGTTGTCTTCCATCGCGACAACGCCCGACCACACATTTCTTTGACGACCCGTCAAAAATTACGAGAGTTTGGTTGGGAAATTCTGATGCACCCACCGTATAGTCCAGACAGAGCACCCTCTAACTATCACTTGTTCCGATCTCCGCAGAACTCTCTCGATGGAATTAAACTGGCTTCAAAAGAAGCCTGCGAAGAACCACTTGATTCAGTGTTCTTAACCAGAAACTACAGAAGTTCTTCACCGATGGCATCGTGATTTTACCCGAAAAATGGCGAAACATTGTCGATAATAATGGAGCATATTTGGCTGAAATAAATTCATTTTCACAATCTAAGAAATCCAGTTGAGTTTTACTAACGAAACGCCACGAACTTTTTCCCAGACCCAATATAATGGTAACGCCGGTTTACGTACACAAGCATTGGGGCTTATGTCCGCTCCAAATACCGCCGTCGCCGCATCTGCGTCTGGCGTCGCCGATCAGCGTGTAATTCTCGTTGCAGGCGTAATCGGCGAGTGCCCCGTGCGTGGTCCTCTTGTCCACCAACGTGATCACGCCGTTCTCCAGTTCCGGGAGTGGACTGCAATCGACGACTGGGGACATCGTTGTCGTGATCGTATAGCGGTTCTCGTTACACGGAGCGATCGGAGCGCGATCGACGAATTTAGTTAGCCGAACGATTCAATCAAGGAGCATCGTTTCCAAAGTAATCGACGCGGTTGCGCACGCAACGAACGCATACGGATCTGCAGTCTGGCTAATGTACGCGACGCGATTGCGAATCGCGGCCCGGCCGCATCTTCGCGATAATTATGCGGAACGCGTGGCGCGGCGCGCTCGATCGAGCTTACATTTGCAGGTGGGCGGCTCGCCGCTCCAAAATCCGCTCGGCTCGCAGGCTCTGTACTTCGACCCGATCAGCATGTAGCCGTCCGGGCAGACGTAATCGATCGTGGAGCCAATCGTCCTCTTGGTGCCGACGATCGTCGTGTTCGCCGATTTCTCCGGGCTGCCGCAAGTCGGTGGTCCTGAAAAGCGGGCGACGGATGAGACCGGATATTCTAGCAGCGGAAACCGCTGCTCGTTGTTCCATGCACCGTCGACTCGCATCGACAACTCGCACTCACTGCTTTGACATATCCAGTGTAAGTAGTCAAGGTTGCAGCCGACGTCGTTCCAGAGCCAACTACGGCCGCCGTCCAGCACCACGCAATTCTGCTCGCCGTTGTAATTGTTCGGCTGGTCTTTGCCCCAGGAAGGCTTCTGCACGATCTCGCCTGAAAGCGAACCGGGTCATCTTCGACTACCGTACTACCGTCGACGTTGCTTCGCTCGCGTGTCGCGAGAATCGTTAACCCTTTGAGCGCCGAGTTTCCCGACGTTAAGCGTGCGCCATGGACCGCCCACTCCGTACGAAAAAGCCTACCGTGGGCTGCGTACTTTTTACGAAAGGACGCAAGTTGAGCAGACTGAATTTTCATTGCGAGGTATATCGATTGTGACTGAAATAAATTGTGCGGTGACCTCGAAAGCCTTAATAACCGTTTATTTCATTGAGCAACGATAACACGAACGATGTAACAGTAGTAAATTATATCTTTTAAATTGAAAATTTAATAATTTTGTATCGCGTGGTAAATCTCGAAGCAGGGTTCGATACATCAGCCAATGTTACATTTTTTGCATTCGCAACGCGAGTCAGTTCTGCGATTATTTTTAGCGCGAACAGCGCATCCTCGTCGCGAAGAATGTTTTTTATTTTCTTTAGTTACGCAGGATGCAGGGAAATGCCTCTCCGTTAACCGAAATGGAAAGTCGTTCGAACGAACTCTTCCTCCTTTAGCCTCTACTCCATGCGGTGGGTATTCTCGCGAAATATCTTTTATGAGAAGCGGATGAAATTTTTCAAATGTGTCAGTTTTATTATTAGCTTTTTTATAAAGAATATGTGCATTATGCAGAGTGTCCCAAAAATGTCTCGCAATCCGAAAGTAGGGGATTCCTGAGGTCATTCGAAGCAACTTTTTCCTTTGCGAAAATTTTCTCCGAGGCTTCGTTCACGAGTTATTAACATAAAACACTGACCAATAAGAGGCGAACTCGGCTGGCTGTCTCTTATACACATCTAGATGTGTATAAGAGACAGCCAGCCGAGTTCGCCTCTTATTGGTCAGTGTTTTATGTTAATAACTCGTGAACGAAGCCTCGGAGAAAATTTTTACAAAGGAAAAAGTTGCTTCAAATGACCTCGGGAACTCCCATTTCCGGATTGCGAGACATTTTCGGGACATCCTGTATATAGCGAGCTCTAAGAGGTGGAAGAAATATTTTTTATACCATGTTGTGCTTTTTCGAACGCAGCGAAGCGAACTCAAAATCATATCGATTTTATCAACTGCGCCCATCGAGGCATTGTTGTCTGCTACACACTTTGGTTTTCAAACCAAAATCGAATGGTATATATTTATAGTCAATAGTATATATTATAGTCAATTTAAATATTATAGTCAATTTAAATATTATAGTCAATTTAAATATTATAGTCAATTTAAATATTATAGTCAATAGTATATATTTCATAGTCAAAATCGAATGGTTGTGCGAAAACGCATATATGGGTCCGTAGTCAAAATCGAATGGTCGTGTGAGAACGCATATGTGGATTCATAGCGCTTAAAGGGTTAATAACGAGCTCGTCGAGCGCAAGACCGTCAGAAACGAAAGGGGTTGAAGTTGGGTCAGACGACAGGTCCGTGAGTCCCGGCGGGACTCCCACGGATTCAAGCGCGATCATTTCGTCTGGCCGATCCAGACGCAACAAACGATTAGGAGAGATTATACGTTCGAGCAGACGCTCACGGGTGTAACTTCCCGTCGATTTCCCCACAGTGGCAACTTTCACGTTCTATTTATTAGCGCGTGCGATTGCGCCGACAGAGTTCCCCGGCTGCTCGTCGATTCGTACTTCGATTTCACAGAGCCCGATGACCGCGGCCGGCCGACGAGTTGCCAAACCGCCCTCGGACGAAATGAATTCCGGCGGCAGACGGAACTATAATTACCCGGCGTAATTGCCAATACAGGGATCGATCGGATCGGTCCGGGTCGTCGAATCGCGACCGGAGTTGCCCAATCTCGCTGGGGAACCCGACCCGGTTCCCATGGACGCGGCAGTCGATGGATCGTGAGAAGGGAAAAAAAAGTGGTTCGGGCCCGAGTCAATAGATAACACCGTCCAACACGATTTTTGATTTCCTGTAGCCACTATGAAATTCTTGTAGAGCTTCACCCCTCGATCAAGGATCCGAAAACTGAATTTCTCCATCACTCTCAGTTTTTGAAAAAAACGAGCTTTTGTAAGAACACAAAATTTTCGGCAAAAATGAGGTATCGCATGAAAAGTACAAACGTTAGAAAGTTCTAATCGGTGTTAAAGGATAGAGGAGAGTTTTCCGAATACAGTGGCATGCAATTTATTAAATGTTATTGGTCCTAAATAGCAATAAATTAATGCCAAAGTTTAAAAAAGCGTCGATGTGCGCAGTTTCTGCGCAATATTTTTGTATTTTCACGAAAAGTTGTTTGTCCTGCACGAAAACTCTACCCAGGATCGGATTCTGTAGACATTTCTGAAGAAGAAACGACCCGGTAAAAGTGTCGAAACGATATGCATTTCGAGTAGATCGAGAAAATGTTCGACGGCAACATATACACGACGTTTTGCCGCCGTATCCTTCGCTGCTCGCTTCTCTCTGTCCGACAGGGCCGAAGCTACGCGTAATCAACACCGATGGAGGGATCCAATGGGGCACCCACTTTTCGCAAATAATATTTGAATTTCTTTTAGTACTTCAATGTTCTGTCTTTTTTATATATTTCTGTAGATAATAATCACCAAACTGTGATATATTTCACGAAAAGATCACACCAGAGTATTTGCAGTGGGTAACGAAAGTATTCTAACACTAGTACAATTTTGACTTCTACGCCATATAATTAAATAAATATTTAAATATATATTTAACAATATGTTTCAAGAAGTTTAACGTTTTGAAAATGATTATTTATTCATGATCGTATTATCGCTATAATTTAAATGATAACTGTATACATGATATACTTGTAATTCGAACAAACTCAGAATAAAATGAATATTTTTTGTTCATTATTTTTCTTTTATTATTGCTCCATTTGAAAATTAATAATCTTACTTCTATATTCCTAAAACCATGTTTTTCGTACCTTTTAATTTATGATTCACAGTTTAGTAATTATTATCTACAGAAATATGTAAAAGAAGACAGCACATTCGAGTACTAAAGAAAATTCAAAGTAGCACGTCCCACACGCAAAGTGGGTGCCCCATTGGATCCCTCCATCGGTGTTGATTACGCGTAGCTTCGGCCCTTTCGGACGGAGAGAAGCGAGCAGCGAAGCACACGGCGGCAAAACATCGTGTACGTTGCCGACGAACATTTTCTCGATCTACTCAAAATGTACATTGTTCCGACGCTTCTATCGGGCCGTTTCTTCTTCAGAAATGTCTACAGAATCCGATTCTGGGTAGAGTTTTCGTGCCGAACAAAGAACTTCTCGTAAAAATACAAAAACATTGCAGAGAAACTGCGCGCGTCGACGCTTTTTTAAACTTTGACATCAATTTATATTTATTCAGGACCAAAAACAATTAATAAATCGTACGCCACTATATTTGGAAAACTTTCCTCTATCTTTTAACACCGATTAGAACTTTCTAACGGTTTTACTTTTCACGCGATATCACATTTTTGTCGAAAATTTTGGGTTTTTGCAAAAACTCGTTTTTTTCGAAAACTGAGGGTGATGTAGAAATTCAGTTTTCAGATCCTTGATCGGAGAGTGAAGCTCTACAAGAATATCGTAGTGGCTATAGGAAATCAGAAAAAAGGTTTGATTTTGTCGGACAGAGTAAAATGAACGGCTGCTCTTCATACTCACCATCCACCCAGCGCCAGGTTCGCGCCGTGATCAGCGGCTCCTTCTGCGCGCCGATCCAGACCAGCTGGGTTTTCAGCTTGTCCTTTCGTCTCTCGAGATTGTTCAGTATATAGACCGACGCCGCGCCCTGCAATCGCACGTGGAAGTGAAAACAACCCGCTCCGGCGATAGGCGTGTAGAAGCTTTAGCCGAGAACTGGAGCATGCCAAACGTGACTCGCGACTTTCCGACTAGCGAAATCGTAGAGAACGTCCGCGCGCGGCGGACGCGATTCACCGAAACGCGAGCGGAACACGGAGTTATAAAAACCTTGAAGCCGTGCACGAGATCGCCGCCCCTGCCGCGGCAATAGTTCCGCGCCTCTTGGAACGAGCCACCCTTCTTCACCACGAACTCGTAACAGGTGGAGTTGAAAGCGGCCAGATCGGCGTCAGCCGGCGTCCCGGCGTAGGCGCACCTGTCCGTCGAGAACTCTGCGGAAAATCGGGTGCGACTATTCCACGGGAATTCGTTCGACTGGCTCTGCTATTATAGAACGGTCCGGGGGCTCCTCGGAACTTACCGTCGACGGCGAACACCTCGACCTCGCACAGGCTCAGGCTGCCCTCGACGCCGACCAGCTGCAGGAACACGTATTGTCCGATCAGCGCCCTGGCGCACACGAAAGTCTTCGTGATGCCCTCCTCTGAAGTAAGAATTTTCTCGTCATTCCTTACGCTGTCGCGTTGCGAATGCTTTCCCGATTTCGTCGCGGAATCACGAAGCTCGTCGAGAACATCTCGAGCGGATAATATTGGGTTGGCAACTAAGTAATTGCCGATTTCAGTTATAGATGTCTCTCACTCCCATTTTTATGATATCCGTGAATGTTATATTATAAAATTATTATTATTATTATTATTATTATTATTATTATTATTATGTTATTTTTTATTATATGTACGATTGTACGATTATCATCGATTTTATTGCAACTGGAAAGTGTTATTGTCGCAATTCTATACTATTGTTCGATCGATCGTTGTCTCTATATAACGCAACGAACTTTAAAATATTTATTTAATACGAATGAAAAATAACAGAAGTGAGCTAGTAAAATACGAGCATCCATTCATTATGTAACACCGTTATAGATTTGGACGATGATAAAATTGAATAGTATGGGATTAATATTTTGCTTAGAAACACTCGTATTTGAATAAATATTTTTGTTTACAACTGGTTGTTACATGACAGTATTTGTGGCAGTGAATTTATAAAAAACAATGTTCAAAGATATTATCTTTTATTGTATTGAGTTGACAACTAAGTAATTGCTGATTTCAGTTATAGATGTCTCTCACTCCCATTTTTATGATATCCGTGAATGTTATATTATAAAATTATTATTATTATTATTATTATTACTGTACATAGTCTAATACTGTATATATAGGGTGTCCCAAAAATGTCTCGCAATCCGAAAGTGGCGGGTTCCTCGGATCATTCGAAGCAACTTTTTCCTTTACAAAAATGTTCTCCGAGGCACCGTTAACGAGTTATTAACGAAAAACCGTGACCAATGCGAGGCGAGCTCGGCTGACGCGAGGCGATCCAGCCAATGAGCGGAACTAGGCTTCGCGCGCTGGTTGGCTGGGCCGCCTCGCGTCAGCCGTACTCGATTCTTATTGGTCACTGTTTTTCGTTAATAACTCGTTAACGGTGCCTCGGAGAACATTTTCGTAAAGGAAGAAGTTGCTTCAAATGATCCGAGGAACCCGCCATTTCCGGATTGCGAGACATTTTTGGGACACCCTATATATACCTGTCTCTTATACACATCTAGATGTGTATAAGAGACAGGTCTAATACTGTATATATAGGGTGTCCCAAAAATGTCTCGCAATCCGAAAGTGGCGGGTTCCTCGGATCATTCGAAGCAACTTTTTCCTTTACAAAAATGTTCTCCGAGGCACCGTTAACGAGTTATTAACGAAAAACCGTGACCAATGCGAGGCGAGCTCGGCTGACGCGAGGCGATCCAGCCAATGAGCGGAACTAGGCTTCGCGCGCTGGTTGGCTGGGCCGCCTCGCGTCAGCCGTACTCGATTCTTATTGGTCACTGTTTTTCGTTAATAACTCGTTAACGGTGCCTCGGAGAACATTTTCGTAAAGGAAGAAGTTGCTTCAAATGATCCGAGGAACCCGCCATTTCCGGATTGCGAGACATTTTTGGGACACCCTATATATACCTGTCTCTTATACACATCTAGATGTGTATAAGAGACAGGTCTAATACTGTATATATAGGGTGTCCCAAAAATGTCTCGCAATCCGAAAGTGGCGGGTTCCTCGGATCATTCGAAGCAACTTTTTCCTTTACAAAAATGTTCTCCGAGGCACCGTTAACGAGTTATTAACGAAAAACCGTGACCAATGCGAGGCGAGCTCGGCTGACGCGAGGCGATCCAGCCAATGAGCGGAACTAGGCTTCGCGCGCTGGTTGGCTGGGCCGCCTCGCGTCAGCCGTACTCGATTCTTATTGGTCACTGTTTTTCGTTAATAACTCGTTAACGGTGCCTCGGAGAACATTTTCGTAAAGGAAGAAGTTGCTTCAAATGATCCGAGGAACCCGCCATTTCCGGATTGCGAGACATTTTTGGGACACCCTATATATACCTGTCTCTTATACACATCTAGATGTGTATAAGAGACAGATAGTGGCGCGTCGTCCAGAGAGATGACATCCGCGAAAGCCATTATAGTGGCGTGTCGTTCTGAAAAATGATATCCGCCGAAGCCAGTATAGTGGCGCGTCATGCCTAAAAGGTTAAACTTCGTTCCAAGTAAAAAACAATTTTTTAGTTCATTGAACAAATCGGCAATTACTTAGTTGCCAACCCAATAGCTTTCGAGCTGCTTACCAATCGTGCCCGGAAACCAGGCGCACAACGGGTTCCGTTGCAACTCCGCGCTACTGTTGCCAACGCGTATCTCGATATCCTGAAGGGGTTGGTGACCTGTCGGGAGACGGAGAACTTTCTCAATTTCGTCGCGAATGTTAGGCGAGTTCCATGAATGGAACAGGGGCAGATTATCCCCTAATTGCTTCCGACAGTGTCGCGAAACAAAAACAAAAAAACAGGCGGCTTCCTATCGCGACCCCAGGTGCTCGTATCTTCGTCAACGGATCGAGCTAATTGATTGCGTTAGAATCATAGCGGCGTAAGTCGCTTCTTTTTTCATCGTGGGAAACGAGGAGTGTTGTTGTTTAGTGAGATTTGCATCGTTTGCTGAGAAAATCTATTGTTGAGGTAATTTAGAGTCAAGTTGATCCATAGTAAGTTTATAATTCATTTTTGTTTAGATGTTGGACAGACTGATTTATTAAATTAGCTGTAGTACGAAATAGTGTATGTATATTTATTTCAGTTTCTTTGGCCTTGAAATCGACTTTAGCGGTGTAAATCACTTTTTTTCATTGTGGGAAACGAGGAGTGTTGTTGTTCAGTGAGATTTGTATCGTTTATTGTGCAAAAATCTATTGGTAAGATAATTTGGAGTCAAGTTGATCCATAGTAACGTTATAATTCATTTTTGTTTAGATGTTGGACAGACTGATTTATTAAACTAGCTGTAGTACGAAATAGTGTGTGTATATTTATTTCAATCTCTTTGGCCTTGAAGTCGATTTTAGTTTTTATATTCGGTTTGTTATAAACAGTTACAAAAGTGTTCGTACACTTTCTAAAACGTAATAGTTTTTTCCAAACTCAACTAAATGACCTGAATTTTTTTAGATGATGGAGGGACTAGTCTACTAGACGATGACTAAAATGCCTTTTCTTAATTTTGCTATTACTTGGGATGACAAGAAAAAATAAGAAACTTCCGTCTTTTAACTTTTTTTATCCGAGCCTATCAAAATCGTGATAAAACTGCGATTTTTGCCATCTTTAATTTGTCATAACTAATAACAATGTCAACTGATTTCGATAAGATGTTAAATTCGCATACAAGTTATCGAGATCTATGAGAGGCATTTTTTAAACTTTCGTTATAAGCTCGGATAAAAAAACGAGAGTTTTTATTTTTTCTGTCATTCCAAGTAACAGCGCAATTAAAAAAAAATCATTTTAGTAATCGCCCAGTAGACTAACCATCTAAAATAAAATTCAAGTCGCCAGATTTAAAAAAAATTATTGCGTTCTAAAGTAAATATTATAAATATAAAAAAAAGATTATCGACATCTACGAGAGGCATTTTTTAAATTTTCGTTACAAGCTCAGATAAAAACGAGAGTTTTTATTTTTTCTGTCATTCCAAGCAACAGCGAAATTAAAAAAAAAATCATTTTAGTAATCGCCCGGTAGACTAATCATCTAAGAAAAAATTCAAGTCGCCAGTTTTAAAAAAATTATTGCGTTCTAAAGTAAATATTATAAACATAAAAAGTAGTTAAACATTAAATATCATAAATATAAAGTAATTATTGCGTTCGTAAAAGATGTACGAACACTTTAGTGTAAAACCGTTCTCAAAAAACTGTTCACGCCACTGTGATTCTAACCCATTCAATTATCGCATTGGTATCTTTCGCGTTTAGCAATTCCTTGTTCTCTCGCAGATTGAAAGTAAAGGTCGAACGCGGTGCTCGACGCGTTAATCGATAGTCGCATCGCGACCATGGGGGGCGAAGGTCGCGCAGAACGAAAAGGCGAATTTACCGCAACAACCCCTGGTCGTCACTCTGACGACCTTTACCGAGTAGGACTTGAGGAGGTCGACCTTCCACCACGGGCTGGGCTCGCTCTGCGTCTCGGTGCATCGTTTTCCATCGTGCTCGGTGCTCGAGTCGCCGTCGTTACCGTGGCTAGCGTCCCCGCCTCGCACGGTGGTCGATTGATTGGTCGGTTTCCGGAAAGCGACGTTCGTACCTGTGGCACAGTTTCTGGCGTTAACGTCTTCTTGCACAGGAGCCCAGAGAAGCGTGGAAAAAGAAAGGATCGATGGCCCGATCCGGTGCGGCGCGAAGCAAATTGTTCGGAACCGAGCGACGCCGAAGAAAGGTGTTGCCAGCTACGAGACGCTGTGGCTAACAAAACGACCATTAACGACAGGATGCGTTTAGTAATAGAGAGGGAGAGAGAGCGAGAGAGAGCGAGCAAACGAGAGAGAGAATGATAAAGAGCGAGACAGAGCGAGAGAGAACAAAAGAGAGTGAAAAGGCGAGAGGGGGAGAGAGAGACAGCGAGAGAGAGAGAGAGAGAGCAAGAGAGAGAGATTGAGAGAGAGCGAGAGAGAGAGAATGAGAAAGAGAGCGAGAGAGAGAGAATGCGAATGAGAGCGAGAGAGAGAGAGAGAGAGCAAGAGAGAGAGAGTGAGAGAGAGCGAGAGAGAGAGAATGAGAGAGAGAGCGAGAGAGAGAGAAAGAGAGCGAGAGAGAGAGAATGCGAATGAGAGCGAGAGAGAGATTGAAAGAGAGCGAGAGAGAGAGAATGCGAATGAGAGCGAGAGAGAGAATGCGAATGAGAGCGAGAGAGAGAGAATGAGAGCGAGAGAGAGAGAATGCGAATGAGAGCGAGAGAGAGAATGCGAATGAGAGCGAGAGAGAGAGAATGAGAGAGAGAGAATGGAAGAGATTGAGAGAGAGAGCGAGCGAGAGAGAGATTGAGAGAGAGAGAGAGCGAGAGAAAGAGCGAACGAGAGAGAGAATGAGAAAGAGAGCGAGAGAGAAAGGGAGAGAGCGAGAAAGAGAGCGCGTGCGAGAGAGAGAGAGAGAGAGAGAGAGAGAGGATCATCCGCCGCTGTCCTAGCCGATTTCACCGTGTCGTACATAGTTTGCGGTTTCGGAATCTTCCGGCTTCCACGGGTTTCCGCATTCTCGGCGACAGCTCGTTCGAAATGATTTCCGTCGGAGCCGCGGTGCCGGGGCGATTGCAGGAACGGTTTCGGCTCGGAACGGCTGAGTCGCCTGAGCGGGATCCTCGGGTTGCGTAACGCGTCCGCGACACGCGTTTTACCTGGCAAAGCGCGTCGCGGCGTCGGCCCGAATTTTTGCCGGAGTAAAAGTGAAACTTTTCCTTCCGCCGCGACGAACTACGAATAAGTTCTGTTTTGCGAGAGACACGGAGCGAAAGGTCAACGTACATGTCGCGAAACGTCGCTTTCGCATCGGTCGCGCGACAGGAAAAGGGGACAGCGTCGCATTTTAAGCGGGACCACCGTCGGTTGAATTTCTTCGATCGCGGAATGCACCGGCCGACCGCGACGTGTCTCCTCTGTTTGCGAGCTTCGAGGAGAAAGCTGCGCGAGCGATCTGGTTGTCAAGGAAGACGAGCGATCGGGCCGTGCTCGCCGCGGCCGCCGCGGTCGAGAAATTATGCGCGCCGCGAAAAGATTTCGTCCTCGCCGGAATGCTTACCGCAGAATGGTAGGTCTCCTTGCCATTTCCCCCGGGCGTTGCACGTCAGGCTGCCGCTGCTGAACAACCAATTGCCTCGATCAGATTCGTCGAACACCCTCCGCGCGCGCTGTTGAACGCTGCGAGCGTTGCAAACGACGCGCGACCACGAGAGATCGGGACGCGGACGCGCGAGCAAATACCCCCGCGATCATACGAATTACATGAAAACGGAGAAAGTCCGTAATGGCAGTACGTTCTGCGATCGACTGCTGCGTCGTGCCGCGAGAAACATCGTCGTCTCGCACGACTGCGGGAGACCGGCCGCGCGCGTTCCTGCGTGCCTCGAACAACAAAAACCGGCGCCTTCGAATGTTGCACGAATCGCTGGAACCGTGCAAATCGATTCAGACCCACGCCTAGGATCCTCGACCGCGACCGTTTCAATTCCGGCGGGGTCGTCGGAGTCGTCGTTTCCTCGCGTGACTCGCTTCGCGGATCCGCGGCCGTTCAGCAATTTCGAGAGTAACGGTTCGCGATGGTCGAATTAACCCTTTGAGCGCCGAGTTGCCCGACGTTAAGCCCACTCAGTACGAAGAAGCCTACCGTGGGCTGCGTACTTTTTACGAAAGGGCGCAAGTTGAGCAGACTGAATTTTCATTGCGAGGTATATCGATTGTGACTGAAATAAATTGTGCGGTGACCTCGAAAGCCTTAATAACCGTTTATTTCATTGAGCAACGATAACACGAACGATGTAACAGTAGTAAATTATATCTTTTAAATTGAAAATTTAATAATTTTGTATCGCGTGGTAAATCTCGAAGCAGGGTTCGATAAATCAGCCAATGTTACATTTTTTGCATTCGCAAAGCGAGTCGGTTCTGCGATTATTTTTAGCGCGAACAGCGCATCCGCGTCGCGAAGAATGTTTTTTATTTTCTTCAGTTACGCAGGATGCAGGGAAATGCCTCTCCGTTAACCGAAATGGAAAGTCGTTCGAAAGTCTTCCTCTTTTTTAGCCTCTACTCTATGCGGTGGGTATTCTCGCAAAATATCGTTTATGAGAAGCGGATGAAATTTTTCAAATGTGTCAGTTTTATTATTAGCTTTTTTATAAAGAATATGTGCATTATGCAGTGTCCCAAAAATGTCTCGCAATCCGAAAGTAGGGGATTTCTGAGGTCATTCGAAGCAACTTTTTCCTTAGCGAAAATGCAATCCGCGGCTTCGTTTACGAGTTATTAACGAAAAACAGTGACCAATCAGAGGCGAGATCATTTGGCGCGAGACGGCCGAGCCAGTGAGCGGAACTGGGCTCCGTGCACTCGTTGGCTGGGCCGCCGCGCGCCAGCCGAGTTCGCCTCTTATTGGTCAGTGTTTTATGTTAATAACTCGTAAACGAAGCCTCGGAGAAAATTTTTGCAAAGGAAAAAGTTGCTTCAAATGACCTCGGGAACCCCCATTTCCGGACTGCGAGACATTTTCGGGACATCCTGTATATAGCGAGCTCTAAGAGGTGGAAGAAATATTTTTTATACCATTTTGTGCTTTTTCGAACGCAGCGAAGCGAACTCAAAATCATATCGATTTTATCAACTGCGCCCGTCAAGGCATTGTTGTTTGCTATACACTTGGTTTTCAAACCAAAATCGAGTGGTTATGCGAAAACGCGTTTATGGATTCATAGCAAAAATCGAATGATCATGCGAAAACGCGTATATGGATTCATAATCAAAATCGAATAGTTATGCGAAAACGCATATATGGGTTCATAGAGCTTAAAGGGTTCATTCCGGCGTCGTCGGAGTCGTCGTTTCTCGCGCGACTCGCTTCGCGGATCCGCGGCTGTTTAGCGGTTTCGCGAGTAACGGTTCGCGATGATCGAATTAACGGAGGACTCGGTGGCGTCCTGCAAATTGCCGGCGGACACTCGGTTCGTGTCAGCAAGCGTTTTCGAGCCAATTAGACTTACCCGAATAATTCGTAGCCGGTGTCGCACGTGTACGTCGCCACGGCGCCGATCTCCAGAGCATCGTCGGCCAACGACACCTTGGCGTTCATCGGCACCGCCGGATGACCGCACTTCAGTCCTGCATTCAAGAAAATTACGTGTCTCAGTTCGTGTCGCCTTGGAAGCGACGTCGCGAGCCGCGGATTCATTAACCGACGGATCGTTGCGGTGTTCTCTTAATGGCCCGCTAACAGCCAGTCGAACACCACGGTTCCCATTTCTCCGACGCCGTTAACCGCGAGCCACGTTCTTTCCGACTATCGAATCGAAACGCCGATTTCTCGACGATTTCCGCCGGGTCTCGCGGAAAAAGGTCCTTCCGACAAAGAAGTTTTACGACTCTCGCGCAGCGAGTTCTCTGCCGGGATTCCTGGAAACGCCGGTCTGCCCGGCAATTAAGCGACCAGCGAAACCGGGACAATTATCCAAATTTGAAAGCGGCCGTCGCCAAGTCGCCGCGATACTATCGATAATGGCGTTCGTCGACCGGCTGGCCGCGATCGGCACCGTTTTCCTCGCGTTCCCACTCGAGTTTTCGCGATTCTCGTTGCGCAAGGCGTCGCGGCGGACCGTTAATTGGCGACAACGTGTCAAGGGCGCGTTTGTCTTTTCCGTGAGTACCGCGATTCTTTCGCCCGTAGAGACCCGCGGTAAAAGTAAATCGAACAATAGACGCACGCGACATCGGATCGAGAGAAACCTTGGGCAAAGTCCCACGAGCCCGCCATTATTCGCGGCTCCCGGCTCTAGAAATTAGTCGCGCACCGCGGATTTTCTATCGTCCGCGAAAGGATCGAACTTAGTGGGTCGCGTATACGATATCCATAAAGACGTCGAGGGTTTTCTGGGAGGGAAACCGTGATCCTCCGCGAAACTTTTTCTCCGGGTGAAAAGCCAGCTGGAAATCGACGACCGTATACGGAGGACGAAACGTCCGCGGGAACGTTACTGTTCCGAATAAAATGGCAAAATGTCTGCCTGTAGCAACGATTAACACGTTCCGTGCCACGTGTACCATCGATGGTACACGCTTGCATGTTTACTTAGTGAACTGAACAAATTGTTTACAGGAAATTTAGAACCGAAGAATCAATTTCCACCGCAAGAATGGGCGTTGATAAGTTTTTGTTACGTTGTTATGTGTACGAGAATTAATAATTGCACGTAATACATCAAGTTTTAGTAAAATATCAAAGTGTGAAGATTCG